TGTTAGTCTTAAAGGTGCCACAGGACCCTCTGTTGCTTTTTACAGATTCAGACTAACACGGCTACCCCTCTGATTCATAAAATGAAGAAGTTCATAAAATTTAATGCCTACAGTAGATACAGCATGTAAGTTGTAGAATGGTGCACTGCATTGCTTTAAAGCGATTTCCACTGCATTGAAGGTACTGGAATTTGAAGGGATATCAATTCTTCATTGACATCGCTTATGTGATTCCCTCCCCCAGCCCCCTCATCAGGGAAAAATGGTTTGAATAAATGTCCATAAGATTGTTGTTTGTAAAATCGAGGTTCTGCTGTAGTTCGTTCTGTTGTGTCCATTTTTCCTTATTGTTCATAGTTAGGTGGTGGTTTACTACATAATTGGACACTCTTTGCTACCATTTTCCTTTGTCATCTGGTTATGCAGTTTTTCTTCATGTATATTTTAATAAAAATGCATGTTTTGATAATTGGGGAAATACTTTTTTCCCTGTCCCTTGTGTGCCATCTCAAACTAACCTGCGGCAGTGCGTTATTCAGTCACTTATAGATTAATTACTCCTGGAGGCATTCTGTGCCAAAAAATTAAAAATTGTGCACCAAAAAAATTAAAAATTGTGCTCACAATATTTTAAAATTCTGCAAATTTTATTTGTTAAAATAACGCTACATAATCTTGCCTGTTTCAATTATTTTGGTAATTTATTTCAAAATAGCTGTCAGTAAGTATGTCTGTAACAATAAAGACAGAGAGACACAAATTCCCCCAGGAGTAGAGTTAAAGAAATCCCAATGACAACCCAGTTCCTATTTCTCTGGCCCTTCCCCTCCTGCCCCCCAGAGTCCAGCTGGGGGCAAGACACTCACATCTCCCCCACCAGCCCACCTGCGGGGGACCCCCCCCAACCATCACACCCAAACCCCCTCCTCCCCAGAGCCCACCCGTGGGGGGACCCCCAGCCCAGATACCCACACCCCCTCTTCCTCTGCAGAACCCAGCTGCAGGGTCCCCCCTTGCCCAGACACCTGTCCCCCAGGGATCCAGAGGGAGAAACAGCCTGATGTTTGGTCCCAGACTTGCATGGAGTTTCCTGTGTGCTGCCCTCTCCTTCCCTCAGGGCATGCTGGGAACTGCAGCTGCCAGGAACCCTCTAGCTCCCTCTCTATCCCCCCCTCAGCATTGTCTTCTATGTGCAAGCTGGGCTCTGCCAAGTCGAGTGGCCCCTAGTGGCGGCTAGTAGCAGTGCAGCCCATTTCTCACGCGGGGGAGGAAATTCTGTGCACACAACCTTAATATCTGCAAAATTCTGCATTGCGCAGTGACGCAGAATTCCCCCAGGAGTAATTAATTAATTTATAAAGTATAAGGCCACAAGGTACTATTAAATCATCTAGTCCAGGGGTAGGCAACCTATGGCATGTGTGCCAAAGGTGGCACATGAGCTGATTTTCAGTGGCACTCACACTGCCTGGATCCTGGCCACCAGTCCGGGGGGCTCTGCATTTTAATTTAATTTTAAATGAAGCTTCTTAAACATTTTAAAAACCTTATTTGCTTTACATACAACAATAGTTTAGTTATAGATTATAGACTTATAGAAAGAGACCTTCTAAAAACGTTAACATTACTGGCACGTGAAACCTTAAATCAGAGTGAATAAATGAAGACTCGGCATCCCACTTCTGAAAGGTTGCCGACCCCTGATCTAGTCTGACCTCCTGTATTTCACAGGTGATTTAAATTTCATCCAGTTACCCTGTATTGAGCTCAGTAACTTGTGTTAGGCTAAAGGCAGGTCCGGCTCCAGGCACCAGCTTAGCAAGCAGGTGCCTGGGGCGGCCAGTGAAGAGGGGGGCGGCACGTCCGGCTGTTCGGCAATTCGGCGGCGGGGCCGTCACTCCCTCTCGGAGTGAAGGACCCGCCGCCGAATTGCCGCCGTAGAATGAAGCGGCTGTAGAGGTGCTGCCGCTTGCGATCATGGCTTTTTTTTTTTCCCCCCCCACCCCCTTTTTCTCTGCTTGGGGCGGCAAAAACACTAGAGCCGGCCCTGGCTAAAGGATATCTTCCAGAAAGCTATCCTGTGTTTCAATTACCTCCCCTGGTAGTTTCTTCCACTGGTTAATCACACTCGCTGTTAAAAATGTGTGCCTTATTTCTATTTGTTTATAAACCCTAATTTCAATTTGTCTGGATTCAGCACACCATCTTGTTGTCCTTCTGTCCTTTGCTGAATTCTGTCCGCTCTTTTTAATATGGAGTCACCAATGACTACTGCTTGCCACCTTTGGATGGTTGAAAACTCTTTTTTGTAGTTTCTTGCTTGATATCACAAGGATGAGTATGTTCCCTGTAACTTTGTTTTTGTTCCTTCAGCGATGGGCTCATCACTGATGAATAGCTGAATATTTGATGATAATTCAATACTTCTAGCTGGGTTGAATGGCTTCTGTTTCTCTTTCCCCTCTTGATCAAATTGCCTGTCTGCTTCTTCCATTTCTGTGCAGTGTAGTTGTAGACATGTCAGTCCCAAGTTATTAGAGAGACCAGTGGTCCAATAAAAGATATTACCTCATCAACCTTATGTCTTCAGTTTCTACTGCCTCTCCAGTTCCTTTATCACCGATCTTCTCCTTGTGGTGTCTGTAGCACCGATTTTCTGAATCTGTTCTAGTATTGCCACCACCTTACACATCTTGCACCAGAAATCTCTTGACTTCTGACAGAAAGAAAGATAGCAAATCCAAGGCATGTCACAGAAGTTCTTTTTTTGTTCATATCCACTACCTGTGGAAGAGCCATACTTGAACAGAAAGAATCACAGTTCCTCCTGTAAATATCCTCTGAAAGTCCCCTGTTTGTTGCCCCATTCTGCTCAAGGGTTTGCTTGGCTACTGATTTGTATACCAAGTGTTTCTCCTTTTGCTCCATTTCCTTGCTCTCAGGGAGGGATTAATCACTCAGATGTCAAACGCTGGGTCTGATCAGAGACCCAACGGTGCCAGCCATGTAATCTTCACAGACCCAAACAGACCTGTCTCACCTGGCGTGACCTTTATGGAGACAAATAACAAACAGACCAAACATATAACTCACCAACTATCTGTACCTGCAGTCAGAGGATCTGCAGCTACTCCCTCCGAAATGCTCCTGTTTGCCTGTATCCTGCCGCAAAACATATTTGAGATACTTGGATTTTTTTCCTAAACCCCAGTTTAATTGGCACAAGAGTCATCATCTTTTAGCATTTCCCTTTCTTGAAACTGGCTTGTCTAGCCTTAATTTTTCCTTTACCAAGGAAAATAAGAAGATAATTGAAGCTTAAAATTAGAAATGCTGTAACTGGTAAGTAACTTTGTTTTTTGTTATCTTTGTACTGTATTAATTAGTCAATCAGTGATATGTGCTGCTTTTACCCAGGCAATGCTGCTTTCCATCTCAAGTTTTATTCTGGTTATGGTTCTAAAATGTTGTATAGTCTTGTGTAATTTTTTTAAAGCTTACTAAAAGAAACTACTAATATAATTGTACTGTAATATAAAATCTCATTTCTGAAACATTTTTACATTTCTAGATATTCAAGAATTTTATGAAGTGACCTTACTGGACAATCCAAAATGTATTGATCACTCTAAGCTATCTGAACCAGTACAACATGTGAATACCTGGGATTTCTCCAGCCTTCCAAGCACAACAGTGACATCAGAAACACTGCCAAACAGCCTTAGCCCAAGTATAGAGGTATGGTGTGGATGATGATCCTATTTATCTCACTTCTTGATCAGACATTTCCTGTATTATGAGATGTAACCCGCTGCTGGTTTGAGGATATCAACTCATGTATAGTTTTGTTCTTATTCCTCACTCCCTCTACTTGTCAGAAGTATTTATATTCCTGGGAAAAATTCCTGTGTTACTTTTTTCCATCAACAATCTTAGTCACAGGAGGACTATTGTAGAAATAACTTCTTTAAATACTGGATATGAGCGAGCATTTACTAAACAAAAAGAGGTGTATGCACTCCATATTCTTGACTGTATCCTTAAACAGGGCTCTTGTTCTCAAATCAGAGGTTTGCAATAACTAATGAGTTCAGAATTGCCACACCTAGCCATACAAACTTGAGATCAGATCTAGCCATACGTAGAACATGTTACCACCACTGGATCCTATCTATCAGCATTTCACTCCATTGAAATGTTTTGCTTGAAAATCCCAGCGATTTGTATTGGTGGCTCTCTTCTGTTACTCTTAAGAATATGCTGCTACCCTTATCAAGGAATGGAGAAAGGTCCAGTTGGCTGAGTCAAGCTGAGCAGTTCATTCCCTCCTAGTACAGGAGCTGAGTGTGCAGCCTCTACATTAATTCCAGCCCTTTTCTCTGAGGTATCTTCAAAGCCATACAGGAGCTTTGGATATCTAATTCACATTAATTTTAAAGGAAATTCGAGGACCAAATTTCTTAGGTGGCTTTGAAAATCTCAGTCTTGAAATAACTTTTCCCCATGTGCCAGTGTAAATTGCTAGCACTAGGATATTGTGACTCATGGGGGAGTTAGAATTCTTCCCTCGTTAAAATTTTTAAGTTTATCACTTTTAAAGAGTGTGGTTTGTGCTGAAAATCCTCATTCTGGGGTTCCGTGTTTTATCCAAAGTAGCAAATGTTGTACATATCTTTAAAAATATACTAGATATGATTCTAGGAATTAGAGCAATGAACCTTTAATTTTTAACAAAAGTGATTGAAATGGCAAAACTAGAGTTGTAAGACATCTATATGATCTCCTACACATCACATGTTTGTCTCTAATCTACAGTGGAGTCGCATCATAGGCGCATTTAACTTACGCTATTTTAACTATACGCACTCAGCAAAACAAAAAAGAAAAAAAGAGAAAAATAATTTAAATACTGTACCTATAGTGCGGGCGATTCCGCCCGCCATTCCACTCAATGAGCGTTTGACTATACATGATTTTCGCTTTATGTGCTGACTTCAGAACCTAACCCCCGCGTAAGATGCGACTCCCCTGTACTAGAAATTGAGCATGTGAACAAAATAAAGGAGATTGTGCTGGCACTTGGGCTTTGACAAATCTCTTATAAAAGGTTGTTGTGGAAGCTGTCATGCAATAAGAGAGAGGTAGAAACCGGCAAAGAGAGAAAAAAGTAATAAAAGGTAAATTTTCATCATGGCAAAAGAGTAAAGACTGCTCCAAGAGTTTTTGGTAGAATCTATGTTTAATATGAAAAATAGGATGGCAGAATTTGCAGAATATATATTGAGTTTCTTCATGACTAGAGACAACTGAAGAACCTCTGAGGGGACCTTACAAAATAAGTGAATGTTCATTGGGAGATGAAATTTTATGTTGACAAATGTAAAGTAGTGCACATTTAAATGAATAATTTGAACTTTTCTTGTATGCTTTATTTTACCTGTAACCATTCAGGAAAAATTCCTGAGTGTCACTGCGGTCAGCTTAATGAAAACATGCTCAATGTGCAGTAATGATGATAATTTTTTTTTTTAATGATGCATAAGGAATAGGATGCTATTTTTAGTGGGTCAGCTTGAGCCCCACTAGCGTGAGGCTGTCTGCTTGGACTGGAAGGCTTGCTCACAGTTGCAGTGTAGGCATGCCCTAAGCTATGTGGACTATATCAGCAAAGCTACAGGGCTATAGCTATGCTGGTATAATCCCATAGTGTAGATGCAACCTATACTGACAGAAGGGGTTTTTCCATTGGTTTAGGTACATCACCTCCCTGAGGGATGGTAACTAGATTGATGGAAGCATTCTTCTTTCAGTCCAGCTTTATCTGCACTGGTGGTTAGGTCGGCATAGCAACATCAGTCAGGGATGTGGGTTTTTCTCACCCTTAACCAACATAGCTGTGTCAACTTAAACTTTAAGTGTAGGCGAGCCTAAGTGAGTTACCCAGTCTGGTTTTACAGGTTAACATCAACACCTTGTTTGTTCTTCGAGTGTATATCCTTATGGGTACTCCACCATAGCATGTGTTTGTGCGTGTGCACTCTTGACCGGAGATTGTAAATAGCAGTGTCTGGAGATCTATGGCAAGCAGTGCCTTGTGCTCCCATGTGTAGGGGTATGAGGAGGTGTGGACTTCAATTTCTTTTTGACTGCCTGTGTTTTGAGACGGAGCAATTGTTTTTTGCTGCTTTCAACCTGCTTCCTGCCTTGATTGTTTACTTCCCTTGTTTGTTTTGTTTATTTTAGTTTTTATTTTCTAGTTAATTTTTTTTCTTAGTTGTAGCATATTTTGTGCTAGGGGGTTTGCCCCCAATTTCTTGCCCCTTGTGGTCTCTGGCCGTTCCCTGGATTATACCTAAGACTCTGGAGTTCCAGCTTTATCAGAACTGCCACAGGTCTTTTCCTCATAGTGATGGGCACTCAAGTTGTCTCTGGTATCTCGGAGAAACTCACGTACCATCAAAGTGTAAAGTCTGCTTGGGGTTCACAGGTAGGTCCCACAAAGATAGGCTAAACTGAAGCTTCTCTTAATAGAATGCTCCCTATTCCTCCCGCCCCACCTGGTATGTTGGCCTCAACCTCTTAGGCCGCTCCAGTGACTTCTGGATCTACAGGGGCAGTTCCAGAGATGAAACACTCAAAAACAAGATAACATCTCTCTAGAGGTTCTAGAAAGAGGGACAAGTCACCTCATAGAGCTGATTCTTGTCCCACAGTGGGTACAGCCGATTCTCCAGCTGATGCTGGTACCGAAGCCCTGGTACCTCCTAAGAAGCTCTGATCAGAGAGACCATGCAAAGCAATGCGCCACAAGGGGTGGGGGTGGGTAGAACCAGTTCCTGTCCGGTAGCTGTTCCCTGATGGGAGGGAAATGTTTTGCCTGACGGTAGGGAGACTGTCCAGGTTGCTGGCTGCAAGGAATAAATCCTGCTCTAGGATGCATAGGGAAATGTGTCCTGGAGGAAGCCTTAGAAGGGGAAGATTGGATCTGAGAAACTCCTGCGGGGGGGTGAGGGGGGGGGGGGGGCGAATTTCATAAAACCTTTGGGTTTGTACCCCTTAAAAGGAGTGAGCACCAGAGTGTTGGAGCAAGTCCCTTAACCTGTCCCAAACCTGTCACAAAACCATCTGGGCAGTAATCTGGTTAGAGTTGATAAGATATGCAGTCGAGTCTTAAAGGAAAATCTAGGTAGCGGTAGTGAAGACTCCAGTCGATGCTACTATTCAGTATGAGTAAATGCTCACACATGTCCCATCAACAATGTCCCAGCATGGTGTTAGGAGACACTGTGCTGCTGGAGGTGGCATCTTTCAGATAATAAATAAAACTGAGTTTCTAACTATTTACAGTGATTAAAGTACCACAACAATTTTTGCAAAAGTTAGGGGCTTTAGACCATGTGTCCTAGCTATTTTAAAACTGGACTGTTGTATTCTGTTCTCTTCACTTTCTGCCCTGACCTGGGTAACAGTTGCAACCTTAGAGGTGGCTGCATTTCAGTGGTGGGTAAAGTAACAGCATTAAAAAGTTTGAATACTTTCATACCTAAATTCCCAAAGGGCATATTCTGGTTTATCTTGGTTTATTATCCTTTTACCAAATCTCTGGTCACAGATAACATAACTTGAGAAATTATTGAACAAACTAGTTTCTGGGAGGGTGGGGGGAGTGGATGGGGAGAGAAGAGTGCAGATGGTTGGTCTGATGATTGTATGTGAGATCCAGTAATCATCCATTACATTTAAAAAATTTTCCCTTAAGAATTAGGTTGAGAT